ATGATTATCACATGTCCAATCAATCAGGTATGAAATTTTATCATAAAATGTTTCGGTATTAGTCACATTGAGGTAATCATATTTAAACTATTTCTTTCTTTTTTTTACTCACCGATGTGGGATAGCCACCATTTATATAGATAATGTATAAATATCTTTGTTTTTTAGGATCAAAATATATGGACGGATTATATATTATATATAATCCATCACCCGAATGAACCTATTATTTTGTGCGATCGGCTTAAAAAGCAAAGGCTCTTTAATTTGCTTTAGCTGCCTAAAGTATTATTTGGTAATATTTGTTACTTTGCACCCTACTAGTGTTGCCACAGCCATCTCTCTTTCTGAAATTAATTAATTATTTAATTAAACTTAACATATCGAGCTCTCGTGCGTTCCTCTTTCCATGATCTCTTGTCTGAGACAAGGGTGAAGAGGAAATGGTATCTGTAAAAGGAAGCAAACAACATGCGGTTAGCTAAAAGATTTAACAGGTGGCTAGCTAGCTGTGCCTGTACTGAGGTGCATGTGTTACTTAAAACACGTCAATGATCAGTAAAAATTCGTTCTTCTTTTTATCCCCTCAATTATTGGTAACTTGATCACTCTGAACTGGAAGGAAAGTTTGCTTTGCGACCTGTGGATAAAATGTTTACTTTTAGGTTAGATGAATAAGATGTTTGTTAGATCTGTATCATACGTGTATGGCTGTTAGCCCCTCACACAATAAGTTTACTACGTAGTATAAGCAGGATAGCGTTATTCACACACTTATTTTTACTTCTCATACACCACTTATAATTTTTATTAATCAGATTGAACAAATTGTTGAAGAAAATCAATGTAAAAAATTTAACAAATGTGCGTGCATGGGAGGTAAAATATATGGGTATATGACTATCGGCAATGATGATGGAGAGAGCTTTTGACTTTACTTACGAATAACATTATTTAGATATGTATAACTGATATATTAGTACTAAAATTCTCTCCAATACATTTGAATCTCATGTACAACAATATACTCACTCACTTGTATGTTTGCCAATATATATATATATATATATATATATACTCACTTGTATTAGAGAAACGCCAGTAACGAGGTCTGTGTTTAAATAACACTATTGTATGATTGTGTTATTTAAATACATATCCTTCTAGGAATTGTTGATTAAGCTTAACTGTCTTACATTGTAAACATTTTATATCAAGTTACGTATCTCAAGACGTGAACTAATTGTTAGTTTTCCTAAATTGTATTGAGGTCTTTTGGAATAGGATAGACTAGAATTTTCTCCCCTCTTCTTTACATCTCCTTCCATCCCTTTCTATCTAATCACACCCTAGTGCACCTAGGTGATGATGTAACTGATTGACTTACACTGAGTCAAGATACTGTGTTAATTTCTCTTTTTACTCAGTGTTGCTTATTAAATTATCAACTAAAAATATCATTTTTTAAGAACAAATCTAAATCCTTTCAGTTGAATTAATGAGGTTGTGTTTCTCTTAAAAACAAAAAATTGAAGTTTAATTGTATCTGTGTTGCAATATTATATTGTTGTTAATCTTAATTAAACTAGAATGAAAAGTCAATTAACTATTAATTTAGTAGGTTTTTTTTTTTTTTTGTTGAAAGATATTTTTAGTAGGAATCCTTAAGTAAAAAAATGCAGATAAAAATTATACCTGATAAATTAGCTTGTAGTTGAAGTAATAATAATTGAGGAACAAATTCATTTTATAAATCATTATGAATATGATGTTAAAGGTACATATGCACTTACTATACATACGTGCTAAATTAAAGTTATGCTAGAATGGTTACCATAATTTTGGGTTTTCTTTAGGATCATTCGAGTCCTCTTAACAAGCTAGAGGGTTACCTGCATCTTTTGATCGTGGTCTCATATTCCTTGCTCATACAATCATGCATAAAATGATGAGTGAGGACAAAATGATTAACACTAATGGTAAACCCAATAATTAGGCAATCTGTTAGGACTTTCGGTGTTTTGGTTCGGATTATGTTCTGTGATGGCCTCTTGCCAAGTTAAGAAGGTACTTAATGGTTGGTTTGTGGATAAGGATGATGAATATATATTCCTGCTAATTATACAGCAAAATTATGTCAATTTAGTAGCAATGAACAACGCCCCTGAGTGGTGCAGGTACGTCCTCTCAACCCAAGAATTAAAATAATGAATGTGGCATGGATCAAAATTTGTAAGCATCATCAACTTGCATATTTTGGAGAGATTTTTCAGTATAATTGGTATATGGGATGGTACATCACGTGTTATTATATTAATGGTGAGATATGTGTGTTGAAAAGTTAATAATTTAAAAAATAAAATTTCCCACCACTTACATAAAAACATGTGATATACCACTCGTGTTCCCGTAATTCATATAAATATAAATTATAGAATTCATTGGGTTCTTTAATTAATACAAACTAGCAGAGAGCACACACTTTATGTGTGTGTGTGAAGAATTTTTCTTAATAAGTGCGTTTTTTTTAATATTACATAATTACTGTTTTGTCCTCCTTATGTAAATATTGTGTATCAAAAGTGAGGGTAAAATTGGAAAAATATGATTGTCATTATTTGAAAAAAAAAAGGGTAAAATAGGAAAAATAGGATATGATTGTCATTTTGTTAGAAGGTACAAAATTACTATTTGCCCTCCTTTTGTCAATAATGTGTATCAAAAGTGAGGGTAAAACAGGAAAAAAAGTTGATAAAGAGGGTTTTCTTAATAATAGTATAGATATTGAGGTTTAAACAACACCCTTACCCATGGACTGAAGTCAGCCAATAACATTGGTGATTTGAAACACAGTTCAAGAATTCGTATTGTGCCTTTTGACTGCTGCATGCATATTTGTCTATGCTTTGTTAAGGTTAATTAGTACTAAGTATAAGTATTAACAGTAGATTAAGTTAAACAACACACCTATAGATATCCATGAGTATCTCTGAGCATTGCTTCCAACACCACGTTAATACTTCAATACCAAATAGTTATTAATTTATTTGATGTATTCTAGGCCATGGGCACCAAACTTGATCCCCAAGTTCTCTTGGATTCCCTAGTGCATGCAAGACAGCTTATATATAGGCTGCCATTTTCGAAAATAAAAAGAAAACATTCATAAAAAATTAACAGTTATAAAAGTAAAATTTTGGAATATGTAACTCAATAATGCCCATCTTTATTTACATAATTAATGATATATGTAGATTCTCCCTTTCAATTGTTAATGGAACAAAATAATTATTAAGCGTTAAGTTAGCTCAGTTGGTCCTTAGTATACATGAAATAGGGTCTAAACCAGTAGTGCCTTTCTAAAGAGACATGTCTTGATTCCATAATACAATTGGAACCGAGTTAATCTTATAGGATCGATCTTATATGGAGAAAAAAAGATAAAATAAAAAAATAAATAAAAATAAAAGCAAAATGGCTTAATGTGTCGTAAAGTACGAAAGTGAACTATTTGCCTTTGCCTTTTCCTGCATGCACAGAGAAACTTCGTGTGTGAACATGAGCATTTGTTGAAACTTGAAAGTAGCTACGTGCACTGCAAGAAAAAACAGCAATAATTTATGGTGGCCGTTATCCATGAACTTGCTAGAGGTGAAAAGTGTGAGTTTTAGTGTAAAAGTGATATTTGATCACTTTTTACATTAAAACTCACACTTTTGACTTGTTCAAACTATTTTTTTATTACTATCACTATTGTTATCTCAACAACTACTACTTATTTAACAGCGACTATTGCGTTTTTTATTTTTCCTTTTTATAAGTGATGAATCGCTTTCAAAACCTAATTAATTCATTATTAATAGACAGTTTTAACATCATCTTGATATGAAAATCTTACTTTTGTTGTAATGTACATCCTAATGCATATGTGATTGTGTAAATTTTAAGTTGAGATAAATTACGAATTTTTCAGGATCTATAAGATATTTCTTAAAGAGTAAGTTTCTCTCCTCATTATTATAAATAAAAACACAAGATCTGAGAAATAACACATAGAATTCCTCGAACCATTTTCTCCATCTCTCTTCTCCATACCGTGCCTCCCTTCTCTCTCAATTAATTAAACATAGGCCACAACAACTTTTTTCTTTACTTAATAATTCATAGGATTAATTCATGTCAGGTTAATACATAGGAAGCACTTCTTCGGTTGGAAAAAGCATCCTCCATGAACAAAAAAACAACTTACAGAGCATGAGTATATTGTCATATGACATCTTGTGTTAATAAAACAATGATATACGAACAAAACTTACACATGTCTTTATTCTTTTGGCATGAGAAAGGAAACTATATGACATCAGAATTGAAAGTCTCAAACAGGCTAATATTGGTTGGGTACACTCTTTACATAAAAAAAAAAAAAAAACCTTTTAGAATGTATCACTGTGACTATGTGTTTGTGCTATACAAGTCATCGTAAAACAATGGTTGCATGCGTGTGAAAAGTTGACTCCCAGTCAATATAACCGCCGTGATTGTTCTTTGTTTTTCTTTGCATATGTACTTGGCTTGGAGACAAAAAAAAATGCCTAAATTTCTTTGATCAAATTATAAAATGGGAAAAAACTAACTTTACATATGACCAAATGATAAAAAAGTGACTATGGACTAAATTGTAACCTAAAGACGTCCACATTAAGTTTGAATTCCTCAATTGTACAAAATTTCTTGTGTTTATATTTCATGTATTTAAGTTTTACTTTTAGGTCCTTATATTTTTTTGAAGTAAATTCCGCATTGAGAATGTGAATGTTACATTAATTATAGAATGTACATGGTCATGTACCATCATGTGAATGTCGTTTTAGTTTAAAAAATACAACTCGAAGAGTTTATTCATATATATAGCTAGGTTTCCAATTCCATCATGATTAATTAAACAATGGCCATGCAGACAGATGTGGTTGATAAAACAAATAGACCGCAAGACAATGAGAGATCTTGAGAGAGACCATTATATATACAATTTCCAAATTAATTATGGGATTCAGTTCAATAATTTATAATCACTTAACAATAAATTAAACTACATAATTCAATCCACCCTTGACAAAATTTTAGGGTGGGTTTTAATCAATTAAGCGCGCTCCCCGTCGTCTACCAGTCGATCGACCTAGTTCCCTTGTTGGTTCGACAATCTCTTCCATTTCACCAAACGCAACAAAAAGTCCTTAACCTGTAAAAGTAATGCAATAATATGAAACATTATGTTAAAAACCAAAATAAAAATATTTAGATAATATTTATATATAGCATAAATTCCATTCAATAATATTGTTCTTACCTCTGCTGGTTCTTGTAAGGTATAAGAAGCATTTGTTTCTTTTGGAACTTTAGAAACTAGAATACCAAATCCTTGTCCTCTGTCGCGTAGCACCTAAACATTTTTGGATGTGAAAAATATGTCAAAAGACTTCTACGAAAATATTGTTACAGTATCAAATTAAAGAAATGTACGTAGGGTAGGGATGGCATTTCATACCTTGAAGGCATCCTCGTCTGTTCGATCATCTCCAATATACACTGGGAATACTTCATTTGAGTTCGCATATCCTAGAGAGACAATAATTCAATATCCTCAGAATAATTATTTCATTAATATGAAATTTTGTTAATCGGGAATAATCTCGTTCACATGTTCATAGGTGCTTGTGAACATTAATTAATGTTAATCGTATCATAGGATCTTCATCATTCAGCTAATACAAATCATAATCTTACAAGAAAATTTTGACTCTAAGACTCACTCACCTAATGACTCTAGCAAGAATTCAAGAGCTTTGCCTTTGTCCCATTTGATTGTTGGCCTGATCTCTAATACCTGTTTAAAACCAATAGACCACTGTTAGGCATGCAGTTGCTTGTGTACAAAAAATAACCGCGGCCATGCAAAAAATTCACTGAAATATGTTTGGTCAAGATGATTGATCCAAATAAAGGTAGAAATGGGTGACCAGTAGTTACCTTCCTCCCTTGAGTCAATCTGAGCTTTGGGTACTCATTGAGAACAAGTCTAACTTGCTCTGCTAAAGCTGCCCAACTCTGGCAAATTAACAAAACAATGAACAGAAATAAATGTGCGCTTCATCAGATTACATGACTAAAAACAGGTTAAAATTAAGAAAAATAAATGAAAATAATAGGTGGGATTAATTTGCTTACCTTCTCATCAACACAACGGAAATGTACAGATAAGCAAAATTTATTATTTTCCACCCTAGCTCCTGAGATGGATCTAGTTTTCTCCAATAAAGTTTTGTACACCTGTTAAAAGAATTATAAAAAATTAGTTAGTCCTCCAAACACACTTTTTTGTATTCTCCTTTTTATTTTCTTAAAATTGGTATCAGTGAACAAACCTCATCAATCATTGGTACAAACTCACTGGCTGGTTGGAAGAGAACCGCTTGATTATCCTAAATAATTCACCAATTAACAAATTAATTAAAAATCATAACAAAAACTGATACAATAGTAAAACAAAAAACGAAGATAGAGAACGTTTATTGTGGTATCACACTAGAGCTCACATTCTTATATTTGCTACTTTTGGATGGTCCCCTGATGTCCATCCCATGGCTGCCTGCATAATAAAGCTCTCCTAATTTTACAAAGCTATAAACCTGCAAAATTATCCAAAAACACAATTACCATTATAAATATAGTTCCACTAATCATGAAAAAAAAAAAGAAAACAAAACAAAAAGAAACCAATATTTATTTATATTTCTTTATACAGAAAGGAAAACTGTACCTTGTCTCTGCACCTCCCGCTAACTATTGCTGTGGGAAAGTATCTTGCAGCGGCCCTCACTGCTTTTCTCATCTGACCAAAATTACCATAGTAATTCAAAACCTAAGAAAGGCATATACGTATACTATACGTATAGTGTACATATATAGATACGTGTATGACATAAAAATATATTTTCTGAAGAAAGTTGAGCAGAATCAGACGGGAGAAAGAATAAACCTCTTTGGACATGAAAGCATGATCTGGGTCTTCTACAATGGGGGAGAGGGTGCCATCATAGTCAAGAAACATTACAATCTGCTTGCCCTTTGAAGCATTGGTTATCTGCTCGAACATGCTCATAGCTGATGGATGATGAATCTATATATTTAACCAAAAACTAATTAGTTTAAATTCAATTTTAAAACAACCATAATTATTAAGTTATTTTTTAGAGCAATGCTTACAGTCCAAGAGTTATAATCCACGGTTTCAGAAAGAGACTGAGGAGTGGCTGATTTGACACGAGTTGGAGAAGATGCTCTCAAGGAGTCAACCCAAGCATTGACTCTGGCTGCTCCGCCTTCTGTGTCAACTTTCAAAACCTTGATGTTCATGGGAATGGTGAAGCACCCTCCTCCTCCTCCCTCAGTCATCGGTTTCGGAACCGACTGTGAAAACATAGCCTTTTTAGCAACCGTGACTTTAATAGCCACGCCTTTGGCATCAGAAACAAGCACATTTCGGTTGGTCATTTTTTCTTGCCTGCACACACAAGAAAAAAACTACAAACTTTTACATTCTAAACATACCAAAGCGTGAAAATTTTGATTCAATGGAACGAAACGAGAAAACCCATTTGAAGGATTGTGATTCTACCTCGAAGATTTCAAAGAATTTGAGGAAGAGAAAAACAGAGGAAGAGAAAGAACAGAGGAGATTTGTGGGTTGTTTGGTGGATGATGAAACAAGAGGGGAGGGAGGGAGGGATGGTGGGGTTTAATAAAAACAAAAAAACCTGAGGGGAAAGAGAAAAGAAGTTGAGAATCGCAACACACGCGCAGTCGACTAGGCTGCTTGCTCGATCGCTCACAAGTATTTTCAAACGGGGTCGCTTGTCAATTTATAACTGTGATTCCACAGCACAAAGCGACGAAATTACCACCTTTTGTTCTTGCCTGTATTTTTCGGCCTCAATATTGTAATAGAATTGGGGAGGGACCACTGTGACCCCAATGCACTGAATAGTAACACCCTTCAAACCTTGTCAATAGTTGAACCTAAAGAAAAAAGAAAGGATAAAGTACAAAAAACTACCTCAATTATGAGTCGAATGACACTGTCATACCTCATCTTTTTTAAATGACAATGTCATACCTCAACTTACGAATTTATGACAATGTCAAACCTCCGTCAGTTTTTCTCTTAATTTCTCTGTTAAGTGCTGACATGGCTAGAGACGGGGCTCACTCACTAATCCAACTAGATTAAAAAATAATTAAATATATTTTTAAAAATTAAATATTATAAAATTAAAAAAATTAAGAATAAAAAAAATTAAAATGGCCTAGGGGTGCAGGCCTCCCCTTTCCTCCACCCGCACTAACCTTCTTCTTCTGTTCGACAAACCCCAAACTCTTCCTCGTCCCCCCAACCTTCCCCAACCCACCCCCATCCCCCACCTCTTCCCGTCCCTTTCGAACCCAAACCTTAACCCTAATTCCACATTTTCAAACAAAAAACCCTAACCTTCCCCACCCGTCCCCCCAACCTTCCTCCACCACCCTATCTCTCTCCTTTATCTCTCTCTCTCTCTCTCTCTCCCTAGGCTACCTGCAACTCTTCCCCCATCCACCAGAACCTCAACAACAACGCCACCCAGAACAACATCGTCCGAAGCCAAACCACCCCAAAGCAAAAACCCAAATCTAAGTCCACCGAAGTCGAGAAGAAGATAATAATGGAGTACATGCCATCACCCAGAGTCTCTTCTCTCTCATCTCGGATCATCCCCATCCCGGAAGCCGACGACGAGGATGAAGAAGATGATGGCATCGCATACCCCGAGACCGACGACGTCTAAGAGTTCAAGCTTTTTCGTCAATCCCAACTCTTCATATTCTGATGCTCAGATCAACGACAGAGATTTTGAAGCCAATAATAATGTACAGGTGAAGATTTTGCCTGAATCCGCTTTGCTCTCTTTGGGTCAGGGCTCCGACACTTATGTCGTGGCGTTGCAAGGAAGGGGTTGGGGAATCTGACGACTGGCTTTTGGTGGCGGAGAATCCAAGCTTCGGAATTCCCGACGACATGAGGCACAGTAGCTTCTTGAAGGAGGATAGGGAGTTTGTGGCATTGGGGAGAAAAAGTGTCAACCTTTCATCAATTTTCGAGCCACAGAAGAGAGAGAGATGAGAGATGAGAGAGATGATGGTGGATGAAGGTTGGGGGGGGGGGGGGACGGGTGGGAAGGGTTTCTTGGTTTTGGGGATGCTGTTGTCCAGAAAGAGAGGAGAGAGAAAGGTGAGAGAGGAGAAAGGCATGAGAAAGAGGAGAGAGATACAGGGTGGATCCCACAATTTTATATAAAAAAATAATTTTATTTTTAATTTTATAATATTTAATTATTAAAAATATATTTAATTATTTTTTTAATCTAGTTGGATTAAGGAGTGGAGCCCATCTTAAGCCACGTCAGCACTTAACAGAAAAATTAATAGAAAAACCGACGAAGGTCTGACATTGACACAAATTCGTAAGTTGAGGTATGACATTGTCATTTTAAAAAGATGAGGTATGAAAGTGTCGTGACACCAATAGTTGAGGTAGTTTTTTGTACTTTACCCAAAAAGAAAAGTCATATTGTTAACTACCAAGTCGACATGTAATCAAGAAATAATTTTTGGACACTTTTTTCTTCGTGTGCATACTTTTATTCATTATTGACATTTGAATTGAAAAAAAACAAACAAGTGAATTGAGACAAAACCAAATAAAAGTATAAATAACTAAAAAAAGAGTGTGCATCGCACGATGGAGGCCAAGAGGAGGCTAAAATGTCAACCACTAATTGGTCCCTTCTAAAAAGAAAAACAAGAGAGTGTTCATAAGACACTATTCTTATAATTTTCTAAGATACTAAATAAAACGACTAGAAATATCTAGTTGTTGTAGTAGAGTACTTATTCAATATGTCGCCCTAACATTGTTGCTTCATATTAAAAATAAATATAAAAATAAAACAAAAACCATGCGTGCATCATTTTTTTTACTGATTTGATCTAGTGGTAATTTTCTTCCTCAAAATTAAAAGAGATATCAAATTCGACCCCTCTTCCTCCAAAATGATTAAAAAGAAAAAAGAAATGAAGTCATGTGGGGAAACTCTTATTACGTTTGAGTGTCAAAGATTTAGGAGCACCTTCAATTTAAATATTTTTGTAACATGCATGTCCTAATGACTATCCTTAGTCATGATGCAATCTTCCATAAAGATCCTCAGCGGATCAAGAACCTTTGTAAATTAGATTTTCATTAGTACGATCACAAGTAAAATATTGTTGTTCCCCCTTTAATTTGAATAATCGAACTATAAAATTAAGCTTAACAAAGAAATCCTCTTTAGCAGTTGCCCATCGAATTCTCTGAATACGATGACAAGAATGATAACTTTAATTGTAATTGGTTGTTAATTTCAGAAATCAACAAAGTTCCAAGTATGTAGTCCAATATCTTAGTGGACAGGGTATTTCTTGTAGATGGACTTAGAGATCTAGTCTACAAAGATTGAGATTGAAAGAACAGAGAAGATTGAAGGAAGAAAATGTTTTTTCTTGTAATTTTTTATTAAAATTATTCTATTGTTCTGAGATCTAGAAAGATGAAAGATGAAGATGAATCATGCTGGGTTTGAATATTTTGAATGGTTCAAAATCAATAACTGACGTTTGAGTGGATTAATGCATTTATTATCTTATGAATTGTTTTTATATAAATGAAAGTATTAGGAGCGGATGTATTTATTTGTTTGATTTTTTTTTTTATATAATTAAAAAGTATTAGGGGCAGATGTTTCTGCCAACGTGGCAACAAAAACAATAGGGACGAATATTTGACATTTTTTGCATCTAATAACAATAGCAATAGCTTTTTTAGGGGCGAATCTATTTTCTGCCACTCCTTGTTAGTAGGGCCGATTTTTCTATGTATTTGCCCCTATTGGTGGTTTTTAGAGGCAAATATTTTTGCCTATATTAATTTGATTTCTTGTAGTGAATGCAGTGATATATATATATATATATATATATATATATATATATATATATATGCAAAGTCAGATTATGATGTGGCTCATGTTTCTAAAGTTTCTAACTTTTAAAGGTGATCTAAGGAAGATACCTAATTCTATGAAAAAAAACAACATAATTTACAAAAATGTCATTTACTTTTTCTCAAAAGAAAAACTTTAAAATAAATATAATAATTTTTATGCCCATCAAATTTGTTTTCCTATAAACCAATAATTCTCCAACAGCCTTCTAATACTTCTTTAATAGGGATACGATTACTGAGGGCAATTGAGGACTCGAAGGAGCTACTGATCAAACAGGTCACTGATGGTTTTTTCGCCATCAAGCTATCTAATTCAATTGCACATTGTCTGACTCGTTTTGCTTTGCATATTGGGGGGGTTCGTCTTTGTTTGAAGAGAGGCACCTGACTTCATTCTCAACAAAATGCTTTTTGGGGTGTATCAAAGAACTGAAATTTGTGATGATTTCATTCTGAGAAAATAACGATTCACGTGGAATATAGTTATGTAAAGAAAATGTATTTGTTTTATAAACACGAGAAGAATAAAGAACAGTACTGCTAAATGCATATTGTTTACCCATAACATATACTGCATAAAACGTATTTGTTTTGATGCAATGTGTTTACCCATAACAATAGGACTTGTACGCATAAGAAATGTCGTAATTTACATATATAAAAAGACAGAGATTATGAAGTACGTAGAACATGCATGAACCTGCAGCCTCAAAACAGTGCATTAGTACAGATCAAATAATAAAAGAATTAATCGACTAGGATGCCGTTCAAAGAATATTTATTTTGAAGTAACAAGGAAAAGGTTAATTTCAAACGTGGATAACAAGAAAGGATCAATTTGATTAATTAAGGATGTGGTATACCTGAGGAAAGAGAAAGCGAAAGCATCAATTCTAATGATACAATTACTTAATTCCAAATTTTTTTGCAAGTTTGGTTTAAAAATTTGATCTCCTTAACATTACCCATTTTCATTAAATAAAGATGTGGTCAGAGAAAGCATCAATTATACCACTAACAATACAACTACTTAATTCCACACTGCGCCCCTTGTAAGCTATATCAGTGCACTTGTTTGTACTAAACTGAAAAAACAACCAGCCGCTCCAACCAAAACCCACGTACGTTGTTTGAATCAAAACCATTAGCCATAACCTATCATTTATAATTTTTCTCCTTACTTTGATGTGGATGCGCTTTCTTTATTCTACATTCCAGAACATCACCTTTTTGGATTTTTCAATGGATTTTGCATTTCATACACCATACATGTAATTGTCTCCAAATGGAAGCTATCATTTTATTTAATTAATTTTTTTTTCCTATAATATTCTTAACCGTTTATTTTAGTTTGATGCATGAAGTGGTTCGACTGTTTCTAACGTTTTATATCTATACATTTTCACAAAGAAAAGGCATCCATGCAGCCTCTAATTCATATATTAAGATCAAGCTAAGGCCGACAATGTTGAATTTGTTAGCACGTTCTTCATTCATATACAAAGAGTGAGATGCATATTATACATATAGTCGCACTTTCGGTTTCTGAAAGTTAAGCCTTTCGTTTTAGCCTGAAAGTTTTGAAAATTAGGACTTTTTGTTCCTCTTTCTTCCTTTCTGTGATTAGATTATGTTGTTGAAAAATATGATTGACCAGCTGCAGAGAGATGGTGGAAGTTTCCTAACAACATGCAAGTACTAAATTGCTTTCAATAATATTTTCTTGGGCTAATTTATATAAGTTTGGTGACCTACA